ATATTATTTAATAATTAGAAAAGTGACTAACGATTTATTTAAAGCGATCAACAGCGAAATAAAAGATGGTCCTCCTATATGTAGGGTGGTCCCTTCAACCATCAATGGTCAATGTTTTCTCTTAAATAATACTCCATCCTCAACCGTTCAGAAATTTCATGTTAATGTAATTCCCCGTGTTCTAAAAGCAATTTCACAATTCATGATTTAAAGAACAATTTCCCATCTAAGTCAGACAATCCCTATAAAAGTTTATGATTCTTTAAGATGGTCCTTCTATACGTAGGGTGGTCCCTTCAACCATCAATGCTCAATGTTTTCTCTTTAAATAATACTCCATCCTCAACCGTTCAAAAATTTCTTGTTAACGTAATTCCCCATGTTCTAAAAGCAATTTCACAATTCATGATTTAAAGAACAATTTCCCATGTAAATTAGACAATCCCTATAAAAATTTATGATTTTAAAGCACTACCTCTCATGATGGAGTTATGGAGTCAAAACTTTTCTTAACCATCCAACCTTTGTTAAAAAGGCAGGTAACAAAGAAGCCCCGCTTGCAAACAGTATAGTGTGCAGGATACTTGCATTGCACGAATATTAGAGCCTCTTTGGTGTGATTTATGAAAACTTTTGCTTTTTTAGTACTATTATAAATGATAAATTTAAATTTTTAATAGAAAAAAATAAAGTTTTTATTTTTAGAAATATGAAAAAGTGAGTGAAAAAAGAATAAAAAAAAATTTATAAAAAGTTTAGATTTGAAATTTTTGAACTTTTACTATTTAAAAACTTTTTGAAGTTAAAAAAAATGTTTAAAAGTGTAAATTTTTAAAAGAAAAATTTTAATTCATAAAACATGAATAGTATTCAAAAACTGAAACTCTTAGAAGCTTATCCAAATAAGTCCTTAATCTTTGTTCCCTATACTATAGAAGCGCACTTCTTAACAGCAACTGAACAGCTTCATAAATTCAAATAATGCAGCAGGGACAAGGAATATGATTCCCAAGTACATATATCCAATGTATTTTAGTTGCCAAACAATTGGACCCTGTGGTTTAAAGAAATGAGTAAAATGGAAGATTAAAATCATTAAATTAAATTCAACAGTGTCACTGCCTAGACAAGTGTCCACAAGGACACAACAAAACCCCAGGATCCCTTCCCGCAGACAAACAATATACTAACAAATTATTTGCTACAGCTTTTGTTACACTTCTTCAGCTCTACTGGAAACTCCAAAAATAGCATAAAACACCTTCCAACATTCCTCACAACCATAAACATATACATAAATACGCACAAATAAAAAAACATTGTTATACTATCCCTAAACTGATGTGCTATCCAGCATATAAGTGGCAAACAAAATAATGAGAACTAAGAAATGAAACCATCAAGCAATGAATAGATAAAGGAACAAGTGCCTGAGTTATCTCGTCCATAAGTCAAATAATATTGTAACCATTCAATAGCTTTGTATATCTTACAAATGCAACCACAAACTGTCCTTATTTCTCTAATCTTAAAAATGTTTATCGTGGAAGTTCTAACAAACAAAATTGAACACAATGTCATACTTCAGATTGATGCTTTTCTAGGGAGGAAAAAAATCTAGTAAATATGTTGAATATTCCTGATTTCTTTCCAAACCTCAAGCAGCATTTGGACATTGTCACCAAGTTCATTGACCTACCCTGAAAAGTCCTGAGCTTACTTCTTCAATATTGGAGAGTATAGGGCTCCCCAATTAAGGAGCCTACTTAAAATTTTAACTTTCATGATTCTCTAACCTAATATCAGAGCACGAGGTCTTTGCTACAAACAATTTACGATTTTGGAACACTTAACAGAGACCAAAACAACATGGTAAGCCCAAAAGAATATCCCCTATGTTGATCAACCTTATATCATCATGCACTAAGTCCATAACGTTTATATTAATCCAAACATTTACATCTCAAATTTTATAAGGTCTACATGATCCCTACAAGTTACATCTGTATTTAAAGGAAAAGAATTCCTCTTGGCCCTTGGGTCACATCAAATCAATGAGGAATAAAATGCAAATATGAGCAAAGACAAAGAAAAAATCAAAATTTGAAAGTCAAACCAAAACAAGTGATGGATGCGGACATCCCACCTTAAACCTCAGACCAAAACAATTTAATGTTTCATTTGCCTGTGATTCAAAATCAGTATCAATAGTCATCTAAATGTTATTCAAGCAACTTCTTCAGGTAAATACTTCTAAGGAGTCTAACATTCAGAATCCAATATGTTGAAAGTTGTTAGCAAGAAGCATCTGAAGCATGGAAGAAAGCAGCTGGAAAGAAATAGAGATTAGGTGAATGGCTAAGTAAGCATTATGAGAATGTTCATTGACCAAAGTCCAGGGTTTAACTCCTGAAAAAAAACTCGTGTAAAGAGAAATTTATAAGATTTGTGGAGTGGTGGTAGTGCAAAAACTTCTTGTTATTAAAAATATAAAACAAATAATTACAGGAGAAACATTTACAAATGCTCAAAGCACACAGATATGTAACGACAGGATGATAATTGCAGCTACTTTGCAAAAGTATGGAATTCATCAAACTGGTAGACAAATTTTCACCTGACACCTTCTTTCTCTGCCATGACAAAATAAATAAAAGCTATTAAGAATCAATATCATAGATGACAATGGTCCAATGCTAAAAACTAATAGCAATAAAGTATTTGTAATCTTCAGCAGTGATTTTTATTGATCAAAGAACTTCTTAAATTGTCAATGAAGGACTAAATTTGTTTTAATGGTCTAGATACACAGGAAGAATCAGGGGAAACAAATATCTTAATCAGGGCAAGGCAACACTTCAAAGGATATACTATATTATTTGTCCATAATATTGTACACAGCTACAATAACAACAAGCATCTCTGAGGATAGTACTAGCAAAACTGAATTGGAAATCCTGATAATGAACTCTATTGTTATAGGTACCTTCTTGAATAGCCATCAGCTAAGTATCAAAGAAGAATGTGATGCGGTAGATGGTGAATCTTGTAATTACAATGTGGATCTTCACGAGCTTTATCATAATTACACTAAGTGGTGGGTAGGCATTTTTAGGTATCTTCTTCCAATCCTTTAGCTTTACATTGGCATTTTCTTTGATGCTCTGTAAGTTCCTGCCAAGATCCAGGTTTTCCAGTAGGTGAGTTTTCTACATCTATATCAGTACATTTGAACTTTAAACCAAGTTCTGTACTAGACTATTGAGTTTTGCCTTCTCACCATTCGATAACTATTAACAAAGGAGAGGGAAATGACAAAAACTTCAAAATATTGGACATTAAGGGAGGAAAAGAGAAAGTAAGTGTATGATTTCCTCAATTTTCAATACTTCATCTGCATTGCTGTTAAAACCAAAAGGATAATTTCAGCAAGATGAATGAAAGCAGTACCTCAATCTGCCTTTGAAGATATTTTACATATTCTACTGCCTCTTCTAGCATATCTGCAGTATTTGTTTGCTGCAAGTAACAACCAGAAAGTTTCCTCATCAGAAAAGTGCAGGATAAAGTTTTTAAAAGTCTAAAATACATTGCTTTTGGCAATATTAGGAGATGACATCTTACATGAAAGGCTACAATTTGTACATAAATGTCAAAGTTCCAATAATAAAAGCTTATGAAACAATTCTGCAGATCCAGTTTAGAATTTCAGAAGTTCATGGTAATGTAATTTTGCAATCTCCGTAACTTCTGCACAGAACCAGAACCTTTCATTATTTCTTAAATAGTTATATCATTTCACTAAGATTAGTTACCCTTTAGCCAACAACAGAAGCACCAATTAATAAACCACGGTTTATTAGAGGAATAAAAAAAATTAAAAATAAAAATAAAAAGAGAGAAGAAGGAAAGAAAGGCTAAGACATGGCTTAAATGGTAGCAAACCCATGCTCAAAGAGATTATTTAAGTTAAAATCCTCACTCCCCCTATTATCAAAAGGAAAAAAAGAATCTTTTAACTTCAAAAAAATTTTCTTCCCCTCTGGAAATTTCAACCTGTTACATTAAAACTTCT